ATGTAATGAGTGTGATAAATGTGGGCAGTAAAGGTGGTTGAACTAAGCATAACTATTGTTGCGATGAGTTGAGGGCAGTAATTCAGATGACCTTACCATTTCACGGTAATTTAATTTTAAAAAAACACGATGAAAACAGTGGACATTCTATTAAATGCTATAAATATTATGTTTAACATAATTACAATCTACATAATTCATATTAAATAATTTTAGATGAATTATAAAAATTACTATACGTATACATCCTACACACATTACATTACATTTAATTAATCCTAAGTTAATTTGCACTCTCTGAATATTTAATACATAAAAGTATTAACAAATCCCATGCAAATATATATTTGTGACTTTTTTCCTGTGACTTTTTTCTGTTTTTTTTTTCCTGTGTTTTTTTTTTCCTGTGACTTTTTTTCCTACAATCGGGGGTGGCGGGGGAGAAATATGTGGGCCATCTTATTATCTTATTGTACAAATAGATGTTCCTTTTAGTGGTGGCGGATACAATTTCTCCTTATGTTGAATACTTATTTTTATTCATTTTTGGTTGAAGAGAATTTCTATGCTTTGGTTTTCACTCTACGTCAAATAGTAACAAAATTAGGTGTCTCGAACCGGAAATGAGTCTCCTTTTCGTGCCTGTGAATAGCCCCACTACGGCTATTCACAGTCGGCTGTCATTTCATGCTTAATACGACTGAATAATATCTTAAAATAATAAAAGCATTTATTGTGACTGGGGAGTGAGGTATAGATTAAGTGGGAGTTTTACCGATTAAGTAGGGTAAGAGAGCAGTGCTATTTTTATTTTTGATAGGCCTATATTTTTATAAAAAAAGTTTTTAGGCCTATGGTTTAAGTTGAGTTTAGCTTTTAGGCTCATATCAGACATATCTGCTACAGGCTACGTCTACGTAGGTCATAGACTTGTGCACTCTAAATCTATACACTAGAATAATAGATCTAGTAATTTTTAAAATAAATAATACTTATTAGGCCTAAGCATCAGTTTAGTTCGTTGTTCACATTGCTATTTAACTATCAATTACCATTAAAAATTCACATTATCACATAGTATAAATATCAGGTGAAATAGGATGCCCTTTTTCATCAGCTATAATTCACAGTTTCCATGACACTTTTGTGTTTTTTCTCTTAGCAAAAATCTACGGGACAGTTATATTTTTTTTTTTGCTGATATGTCAACAATTACGTCACAAAAGAAAAAAAATTAACAAAAATAACCCTTCAATGAGTAACTCAAGTAACTGTGAAAAAATATTTTGTTAATAAGATTAAAAGGCATAAGATTAAGAGTCATAGCAATATGTCATCTGATGGAGTTGAACCCACGCCTTCTGGCATGACAGCCACTGCCCATGACTGCTCATCTACACATCTTCTTGCCCAGTTGGGTATTTTTAACATTAAATCTATCAAAAACGGTCACGACTGTGAATAGCCCCAATACGGCTATTCACAGTCGGCTGTGAATAGACACTTCGCACAAATATATCAAAATATACTTCTATTAAAGCCTTGACAATGAGGTAACTTTTTTGTACATTACTAGCCGCGGGCGATTTTACGTACCCTAAACGATAGATAACCGGTGCCGTAAGACGTTTGACAAGGCCAAGGGATGCTTATCGCTGTTGAGGTAGATCTAGATTAGATTTGTCTTGTAATTTTTAAATTTTTTAAAACTAGAATCTAGACCTAACCCTAGATCTAGACTAGAATAAAAAAATATAGGCATATTGGGAAATTTTTCCTAATTATTAATTACCACAGAATGATAAAATGGACACAGATTAATCCTATAATATACCCCATTGATAAAAATACCAAATTTATCATTCTAGGCCTAATAGTTTTTTTTATATGAATTATCAAAGTTATGTGTTTAACTTGTTATGTTTCATTGTAAACTGCATTCGAGGCGTGTGATTGGCTTTAAACTTGCATACCAATGTTGCTATTAAAGATATAATGATAAAACTTTGCACATTTGTACTCAATGATATTGGCAATAGAAGTCTACAAATAAAATAAAAATTAGAAAAAAGATAACTTGAAATAATGAAGTCAAATTAAGGGGTGTGGCACTGTTCTATAGTGACTGCCATAAAAGGATTTCCAGACTGCACAGCTAGGTTGCTATTCCATATACCATCATGAAACTTAAAATAATAGGACTAGAGAATGTAAAAAATACAAACATGCAAGTAAAATAAACATAGCTAGAGAAAAACTATAAATAATGAACTTGAATATGGTACAGCGCAATTAGATTATGATTAACTACAGGGTAATATTGTACTTCTTTGTTGCTACTATAAAAATAAAGATTAAACTTTACATATTGATTCTGGTGTTAGTAATAAGAATGTTAGTATACATATTGTACAGGTAATGTATAGAGTTAGAACGTACAAATACAGAACAATGATCAAGATACTTAACGATTTGCCATAAACATTGCATTTGTGTCAATGTATGACATGGTAAAAACGTTATTATTAATTTAGAAAATTTTGGTTCTTGTAATGTTTCTGATGTTGAGATGTGCTAAAACTCAAAGAGTGACATTTCACAGTATTCTTATTAAGTTATTTATAAAATGTTTACTGAAGTTGACATATCCTTTGATAAATTCTTAAAATGACATTAATGAAACTGTTCATGTTTTCTTTCTACTATTATATAGTTGCCTATAGCTTAAACTGTAATGCAGTGCAGCTTATAAAATTGGGCATTATTATTTTTAATTTAGGCCCTTTATAGATTATATAAGATAGGCCTGTCAGTATTTACATTCAGGCCTAAAAGGTTTTTTTATATATTATTTCACATCTCTAGACCAAATATTATTTTAGTGTTTTCATTTCCATTAAGATCTAGATTCTATTTTTTTTTTGTTGTTTGCAATAAATATAGGTTTATTTCTACTTGAAAATGCCTTCATAATATAATCTATTTATCTGCAATTCGTTAATTCTAGTTTGCTAGATCTAGTAAACCTGGTATTAAGAAGGTTAATAAATTTCTGGCTAATTTAAAATTTTAGAATTTAGGCAGAAATTAATTACGTTCTTTCCATTTTTAATTTAATAATTTAGATATAGATCTACCGTATATTTATTTTAAAGCCAATTTTATTGTAACAGTCCATTTAAAAACGAAAACAGTGCGATAGACTATGGATAAGAAAGGTTACTATAGACTTTAAGTGAATGAAATCCGGGCGTCCTCCGGCACCCCGACAGGGTGCTATTTGGCGCCCTGGGCCTTCCCGTGTACGCTATGGTACCTACGTTTGCGTGAGTTCAAAAGACTATGAATAAGTTATGTACTATAGTCGTTTACTAAGTTGAATCAGGCGGTTACGTCATTGTGCATCCTCTGTCGCCCAGACTGGGTGCTATTTGGGGCCCCGGGCCTCACGTGTCGGTTTGGCGCCTACGCTCGTTAAAGTGAGTGCAAAAGACTATGAATAAGTTGGGGTACTATAGTCGTTTATTAAGCTGAAACATGCGATTCCACCCCGGGCTAGACTGTGGGCACATTGCATTTATGTTCGCGTTGGTGTTTTCTTTGTGTTTAGGTTGGGTTTGCATTAGTGGTTGCGTTTTGATTTGGTTCGTTTTTGTTCTTTCTTTTTTCGTTTGTGTTTTTTTCATTGGGTTTGTGTTTGTGGTTGGTTTTGCGTTTGGATTTGGTTTGCTTTTTCGTTTGTGTTTTTTAATGTTTTTTTCTTTGGGTTTGGATTTGGTTTGTTTTCGTTTGCTTTTTCGTTTGTTTTTTTCTTTGTGTTCGTATTGGTTTTTGTGGTTGGGTTTGTTGTTAGGTTTTTGTTTTCGTTTGTATTTGTAATTGTGTTAGCGTTATGTTTGCGTTTTGTTGTTTTGGTTTTGGTTGGTTGTGGTTTGGGTGAGCAATGCTGGGCTTACCATGATTACTTAACACACAGGTAATGGTCTTTAACAGAAAGGTTTTTCACAGAAGCCAGAGCAGGGCCTGGCCGGGACGGCTAGTATAACATATAATACACTGTATATGCAGCTAGGCATAGTGCTGACCACACAATCACTTTTCGCTTGTTCGCAAAAAAACGGATGTTCAGTTGCTACGACAAAGGGAGAGGAGGGGAAGGGGAGGGAAGATATATTTTGTGGTGCGACTGACCGTGTGATTGTGTGCGAGTATTTAAAAATGTCATTTAATGAAAGAATGGTAGCCCTCAGAATTGTAAGGCTCTCGATTTTCCTGCTATTTTTGTATTGTTTGAGTTTGCATGCAGGCAGTCATACCAAAAATTTATGGGGGAGGTGTGTGAGTGGTAGTTAAGATATAATTTATCAGTCTGTAAGGGGTTATCCATTTATGACGTCCAAAAATTTTTTTCGGATTTTAGACCCCCCCCCCCCCCCACATGCGTTCACTTTCGTTGGAAGTAATAATTGATATTAGCATTTATAAGATTAATAAGTCGCAAGGCCTCCTGTATTTCTGTTTGCTTCATCGGTCGCTTACCAAAGAGGTACTATTTTTATTTAGGAGTCGTCCATAAATTACGTCACACGTCGGGAGGAGGGTTTTAGAAAGTGTGACGACGCACCCTTGCAATATTGTTAGGGTAGTTATAAATACCGTGTTTTATTTACACGCTGTGATGGTTTTTAAAATACCAGCACAGTCGTCTTAATTTTACGTTCCACACGCAGGATACGAGTTTTATGTTTGTTTTAGAATGGAAGCACTTCGATGTTAAGTGTAACTTGTGGATATCTGCATGAACCCGAACACCCCAGCCCACTTAAGTCTTTTTTTACCCCTTTCCCCCCCCCCCCCCCCTCTATGTGGACCTCATAAATGGATGATCCCTTCCTTTAAACTGTTTTTTGAAATCTTTGCAAATGCTGACGATTAAAGCTAGACTACCACGCCCCTCCTTGTAACTACCGTCACTTGTTGCATTTTCAACTTCAGAGGATCAACAATCAGATGAAACATTTTCTTATTCTAAAGATATGAAACCAAATGTTTCAACAGTTGGTACTGCTTGGTAAGGAGGGTGGGGAGGGTATAAGTCACTTTACAGTTCATGCTATGACGTATTAAACCAGCATACTGAAGTCTAGACTACTATGACCTCACAGTGACCCCTTCATCATGTGTTGTGGGGGGGGAGCAAATATTAGGCTACTCAACAAGAGCAGAAGGGGTCGGCGTGGTCGAGTCGGTAAGCTCATGGTTGCTAAACCGAAAAGTCTCGAGTTCGAACCCCGGGCAGATGAGGCTCGTTAGCTGGGGACAGCCACTCTTCTAGGAGAGACAACTCCAAAATAAAACAACTGCTGCCTTGTAGTTTGTTCTTGGTTGGACAAAGGCTATGGAAGCAAATCCAAAAAGAAAAGCAGGCTGAAATCGGAGTCAATGGCCTCAATGGCGCATAACCAGTTGACACGTAACACTTAATTGTGTTTAAGGCGTGGTCGAGTCGGCAAAAAGCTCATGGTTGATAAATTCGAACAAAGTCTTGAGTTCAGGCAGATAAATCTCGATCCCCTTCAACACTAATAATTAAGAACGAAGAAGAAGAAGAAGAAGAACAAGAGCAGACCTAAATTAATACATTGCATTATTATTATTAAAAGTAATTAGCTCTCACTATTATGCAATACCAATTGAAAACATAGGCAATGAGATCATAAACAGATTATTTAAGTCTAATGTTAGAAACAAAATAGTTGCATCATTTTAATCAATTATTTTAATTATTAAAATTTTAGGTGGAATGGAGTAGGAAAAGTGATTTTCTGTCAATTTGGCTAGAGAAAATTCAATATGAATATAGCTCAATTGCCTATAATAAATGTCTATTTAGTATAAGTAATTATAATGAGAGTACAAATGTTGCATCATTTTATAAATTATTCGCTGACATATTATCTGCATAAAGTCTGGAATTTTTCCCAAAAAGTCTGGAATTTCATTTTCAAAAAGTAGTACAAACCCTGTATTCTGAGTCAGTGAGTCAGAATATTCCACCGTGTATCCTAGTCATTTCCCATTTGCGCTTGGAAAAAAATTATTTAATCTGATAAAGATTTTCCAACCAGCAACTTGTGGTCTAGTTTTCATAGACCTTTCTACATCGTATGAAGAGAGTTACTAAAAGTTAAAAACTTTTTGAATATTATTCTTGTTGATGTATTAAAATAAAATAAAATGTAGATATTTTAAGGGGAAAAATGTTTAAAAAAATTTTTTTTTTTTTCTGATCATGTCATTTTTTATTTTCTCTTTTTAAGCCATCCATTTAAATTTATGCAGAACAGACTGGGAAAATCAGCCATGTCTTTACAAAGTGCATTTGTGGTTAACCAGGAATCAAGTGACCAAGCAATACAATTTATGGATTTAAAATCAGATGTAACATTGGCAATTTCAACTTTAGAAGATGTGAAACCAAATTTATCAACATTGATTTCAACTTCAAATGTTATCAAACAAAATTTATCATCACAATCTTTACCTTTAGAAGACAAGACAGTTGCATTTTCATCTTCAGAAGATCAAAAATCAGATGAAAAATGTTCTTATTCTAAAGATATGAAACCAAATGTTTCAACAGAATTTTTAAGGTGTGATGTTATGAAAAAAGATATCATGACATTTTCAACATTTAAGGGCAAAAACGAAAATCGCTTAGATGTTCAACAACAGCTTGAATATTTACCAGATTCAGATGCTTTTATTGAAAATTTTGCAGTATTAAAATCAGATCTTCATCATGATTTAAAAGAACTCAAGGAATTGCATAAAGAAGTTATTGATAATTTTCCAAAAAATTATGAGCTCAGGGATAAGGGACTGAAGACATATAAGTGTGATATGTGCTGTCAAAGATTTACTCATTTTCATCATATCACACAACATATGAAAACTCACACAGGAAAGAATTCATATGGGTATGATTTTCATCAGCAACAAGGTGCTATGAACAGTCATGTAAAACAGCTTAAGAAAATAAACAAGAACCTTTCTTTGCATAAATTACATTCTGAAGACAGATGCAATGAATGTGATGTGTGTCATAAAAAGTTTGCTCATAAATCTAGTTTAAATACACACAAAATTATTCACTCTGGACATAAGCCATATGAATGTGATGTTTGTCATAAAAGTTTCAAGCGTAAATTTATTTTATCTCAACATAAAAATATTCATACTGGAATTAAACTACATGAATGTAATGTGTGTCATAAAAAGTTTAGTCAGAAAGGTTATTTAAAAGTACATAAAAATAAACATTTAAGTCACATACCTTATGAATGTGATTTATGTCATAAAAAATTTACTGAAAAGACAAGTTTATCTATACATATTAAAATTCATGTCGGATATAAATGTGGTGTGTCTAGTTTAAAAGCATACAAAGTCATTCACTCTGGACTTAGGCCATATGAATGTGACGTGTGTCATAAAACGTTTTTTCGAAAAAATTATTTATCTCGACATAAATATATTCATCTACAATTAAGACCTTATGAATGTGATGTGTGTCATAAAAAGTTTGCTCTTAAATCTAATTTAAAAGCACACAAAATTATTCACTCTGGACTTAAGCCTTATGAATGTGATGTGTGTCATAAAAGTTTTAGTCGTAAATTTATTTTATCTCAACATACAAATATTCATGCACAAATAAGACCACATGAATGTGATGTGTGTCATAAAACTTATATTCGAAAAATTGATCTGTCTCAACATAAAAATGTTCATTTACCAATCAGACCGCATGAATGTAATGTGTGTCATAAAAAGTTTATTCATAAGTCTAGCTTGTCTTCACACAAAAAGATTCACTATGGACTTAAGCCACATGAATGTGATGTGTGTCATAAAAAGTTCACTACGAAGAGTTATTTATCTGTCCATAAAAATACACATTCTAATCTCAAGCCATATTGTTGTGATGTTTGTCAAAAGCGATTCAATCTTAAACATTATTTATCTCAGCATAAAAAAACTCATTTACATGTGAAACCATATGGAGGTGATGGACTAAAGCCACATGAATGTGATGTGTGCCATAAAAAGTTTTCTCAGAAAAGTCAACTAACAACCCATAAAACAATTCACTCTGGAAACAGACAATATGAGTGTGATGTGTGTCATACAAAGTTTACTCAGAAGTCTAGTTTCATGATGCACAAAAATAGTCATTCTGGACGTGAGCCACATGAATGTGATCTGTGCAATAAAAAGTTTATTAAAAAAAGTCAATTAGCAAGACATAAAAATATTCATTCAGGAAAGAAACCATATGAATGCGATATGTGTCATAAAAAATTAGGTAGTAAATATAGTTTATATGGACATCTAAAGTCTCATTTAGGAATTAAGGCAAATGATGAATGTGATGTGTGTCATAAAAAGTTTGTTTCAAAAACTAATTTAATTCAACATCAATTGTCTCATTCTGGACTTAGGCCCCATGAATGTGATGTGTGTCATAAAAAGTTTGCTCAGAGGTACCACTTATCTCGACATCAAATGACTCATTCTGGGCTTAGGTCACATGAATGTGATGTTTGTCATAAAAAGTTTTCTCGGAAAGATATCTTATTGCAGCATAAAAAGATTCATTCAGGCGTTCTACATGAATGTGATGTGTGTCACAAAATGTTTTCTAGTAAACCTTCTCTATCTCGTCATCATAAGTCTCATTCAGGAAATTAGCCACCAGCATTTCATTCTAAAGAAAAGCAAATACAATTTGTTTAACTTAAGTGTTTAAATTGTGAGGATTTTTCTTGTAAACATTTGAAACATCAGCCTGTAAATAATATGTTTGATGTCACTACACTGTGGCAGGTTCGATGACTTCTGCAAAATAAATCTTGTACAATGCAGTTTCAGATATACATGTTATGGACATACATATTTATGTTATATTCATACAAGTGTTTTTTTTAAAATCATACAACCGCTGTTTCTCTGACATCATTTCATTTACTTCTTTGTATTAGTATACTTTTTATAATTTATTTAAATGTATATTTTTTTTTCAAAATGCGAACAATTGAAAACATGAAAACTTTTTATATATAGGCTACAATTGTACATTTATATATACCAATTTTATATATATATATATGTGTATATATATATATATATATATATATATATATATATATATATATATATATATATATATATATATATATATATATATATATATATATATATATATATATATATATATATATGGTGAGAGAGTGAGTAAGTAAGGTACTGTTAGACTAGAGGTGACAAGTTTCTGTAATTGGGTGACAAAGTGTGAAAGCGTAAGATTGATATATCGGTCATATTTTAATTTGTCTTGATTTTAACGTGTGTTAATCAAATAAGCATTGTGTTTTTTTATTGTTTTTTTTTTTATCTTTAATCCATTACTATTTCATTCACTTTACCATGTGTTTTACAACAATTATGCATTGTCACTTTTCATCCTTGAGGCCCTCAAAACATGGACTAAAATTAAAATTATGTAATTGAAATAATTTCCATTTGATTACTGAACACTATGTAGTGTTAAGACTTTTCATTAGCTCCTACAAGTTTTTCTATATCCTAGTTCCTAAAAAAACTAACCTTCTAAAAATAATGTTGAGATATCCGTTGCTGATTATAATATTAACAACCTCTTTGTCTTCATTTGAGGACATTTCTAACAAAGTATTGAAGATTTCTTCAGCTCCAGTTATCTCTGCATTGCCAAACTGTTATCCAAAACATTTAAGAATCCAAAGATAATCTACACATAAAATCTCAAATAACTACAGACCAATTTCTATACCTTCTTACCTTTCCAAACCATTAGAAGATAGGCCTGTGTATTAACCGATGCATGTCTAACTACTAAGAAAAACACAATCTAGGTTTATTTTATTGTCTTACGGCTCATCTTTTATAAAATGAATGATAGCCAGTGGCGTCGCTAGATAGGGTGTACTTTATAAAGTAATGTTCACTATTTCCAATTTCTCAAAAACCGCATGTGAATTTATAAAGTACTAAATAATATTCCGCACTATTATAAGCATCTTTATTCGGCGCTCTCTTGGTGCACAATTCTTTTTTTCTATGAGATTCTATTTTAAAAAGTTTAAGTATTTAAAATGGATTAAAAATCATAACTATATCCCGAGTTCCCATCCCTGTTGTTTTATATAAGAATATTCGAGAAAGTTTAGGGGAGAACACTCCCGGTTTATTTTATTTGTATGTATCAATGATACTTCTAATGCTTATCGATGATAGACAGTGTGAGATGTTTGCAGTTTATACTTATGTACATTTTTCAAACAGCGTTTAAACACGTTGACTACCAGCTACAAATATAATATATGTCAATAAAATATGTCTATAAAAATGATATTTCTAACAACACTTTTCATTCATTTGACATTGTGTTCTTGTGTTTAGCGCAATTTCCATTCTGGAGAATTGCGTTTATTAACTCGTCTTTTCTTGGAATGGATGGATGTGTGTCCGCAGCTTTAAGTCGTATCCCCTCCTCAACGAAGCAATATCGAGGACTAGTTCCAAAAGCAATTATGTTAAGCAAGTTACGAGGATGAACATAGGCCATACAAATTCCGGGTTTCTTTCATGGATTTCCCGGAAAAGCCAAAAAAACTCGAAAAAAATGCAGTTTTTGGCCCATATCTCGGCAACCAGACCACTTAGCGACTTGAAACATGTACCAATCGATTCCTGCCATAATTTAGAACAATATTGCCGAAGAAAGTTTTCAAAAATATCCTTTCGTTCGGTCACAAAAAAATGTTTGAATTAATTAAAATTTGGACCGAATTAGTAGGCATTTTATGCAACCACACCACACGCGTCATCACGTTCAATAGCTGCGCCATCACGTTCAATGGCTGCGACGTCACGTTCGGTAGCTGGGCGCGCAATGGTTTTTAGTCATGTTACAAGGAAATTGCGCAAAAATTGTCACTAGACTTTTTTTAATTACTTGTTTTAGTGGAAATGCGGATGTTTCTTAATAAAGCTGTAAAGAAATAACTGTTTTCTAACGAGTATTTAAAAAGGTTTTTTTACCGGAGCCTCCCCCCTTAAATTCATACACCGTAGTTACTAAGTCTTATCCGGACTGTCACGCACACAGACACACACATATATACAGTGGCGTAGCGAGGTCGAGAGTTACCCGGTGCGGCACTTAATGGTGTCTTCCCCCCCCCCCCCCCCCCATAAAAAATTACATATATAGGCTATTTATATAATGCAAAAAAAAGGCTCCGCGCGGAGGTCTGCAAAGAAGTCACCAACCAGTTCTATGGCTCATGCAGGTTTTATTGAGCCGTAGAGATGGTTGGTGGCCTACTTACCAGCCCGATTGGCACTATGCCCCGCGTATTCCTAACGCCGGCTATGATTACATTAGCAATTATTAATATAGCAAGGTACACATACATGTAAATTTATTAGTAATTTTGCAGCATAGTTTAAAAGTAGTTGGACGTCCACATTGAAGGGGAGGGGGGGGGGGGGTTGTGTTCGTCTAAAGTGGAAGCGTTTGGAAGTCATTAATGGATGACGACCCCGGAATGCGGGGGATTAGCCCGTAGTGGCGAAACGGAAGTACAGATATTTTAAACTTGGAATTAGGTCATCAGGGGAAACAAGTCTAAATAATATTGTTTGTAAAGATGGCCGCTGTTTGTAATCGGTATGAACTATGAATAGTTTTGTTGATTTTAACATTAATGGACACCAGTGAGTTTACGAAAATCCTTCCGTAATGTTGTTGACATGGAATAAAAATGTTTAGTCATTCCTTGGACCAAATTGCAGTGGAGAATGTTAACACTTTACGAGTCTAGATTAGTCCAAAACTTGATCACATTTTGTTGTTGATGTATGTAGAATAGGCTTTTTGATGAGAATTACAGAATGATTTTTTTATTAAAAATGTATCAATAATAGCTAGAACACTAGTAAACTAAGCTAATTTAGCATATTTTAACTTTCTGTGCAAAGTCATTATTACTGAAAAAAATTCCAAAGTCAGGTCAGCCTGTGGCACCCTCCACTGAACGTGACAGAAGGAAAAAAAAACTTCACCCGTGACCTTCATTAAAACAGAATTTGCTTTTTTATTTTTTTTATTTTTGGTAAACATGTGCTTAATCTTACCCAATAAGTGATAAAAATTTGAAAATTAATTTTAATTACAGTTGTAAAGTAAGATAAACAGCTTAATAAACACATGCTTTCTTGAGGGGGTGTGGCCCGGGTGTGGCACATCGCAATTATAACTTTATATTTCTGTGTTTTATGACTATATTTGTTCACAATCAGCATGCTATGTTTTTAAAATTGATAAAGGGTAAGTATACCAAGTTACAAAATCTGCAATCTAACTAATAATTCATACTTTCAATTTAAAAAATAATAAAAACAATCATCAACGAAGAAAGCGTAAACATTCTATTTTTAGGTGTGACATAAAAAAACAGTCATAAATCTAGCCAAATGATTGGATTCTTACGCGGCACACATTTTCCCGCGCCTCGTTTTCACCAAACAAGAATATAATAAAATGGCATTATTACTTACAGCATGAAAAACATTGTTGTCAGCCTAATTATATTAAACAATTCTATTTTTATTTGATAGTAAAGATGTTATAAAAATTGGGTCTAATAAAAAAGTTATTGGATAACGCACCTGCTTTAGTTTATTTGACTTGAAACGCAAGCTAAGTAAGCGTGACTTTCTCTCGACGGCCTCGTTAAATACAAATAAAGAAATTAGGTCAAAAGTACATCTGGGAATTCTTAAATAACAGACTGAAATAGAAACGGATAGTTCCGATGTCTAAAATTAACGATGGCCTCGTTATTATTAGTTTTATCCCTCTACCGTTTAGTGAAAGCGAAACTGGTCGCCATTTTGAGTAAGCGCATGAGCCGTGAGATGCCACAAAAATGACAAACCCGGAAGCGTTGAACCGAACGGCCTAATGTAGAATTGTAGATTGTAGCCTAGTATTTTTGTGTGGTGCTCCTGCACTAACAGTACATAATATGATTTTTAACATATACAGATATTTTGCCTGGAGTTGGGTACGGTGTATGTGTATAGTTCTGCAAGCACTGGATGCAGGATTTAATTCTCAGCAAGTAGGCCTAAAGTGTTTTAGAAAGTGAATTCTGAGAGCTATACTTTTTCTACTTCGTTCTTAATTTTAGTGTTGAAAGGGATTCCCTCCAAAACAATTAAGTTATTGCTAGGCTTTTCGATTCGTCAAGTCTTGTTCTCGCGGTTTCGTGGCCACCGTGTTTTGGGCGGACATATAAAATATCGAATCATTTCTTTCTCATGAAGTACATGATAGTTAAAAATAAGGATTGTATTGTAATCGGAAACATTTGTACTCGAAACCGCCCATGTATTTACGGGGCGATTAATTAACATTTTAATAATGATAGCGTGACCTGATTTCTTCCTTTGTCTTAAACGAGGCAGTCAAGAACAAGTCACTCATATATTAGCGCGTGTTCAAAGTCGAATAAACTAAAGCAGGTGCGTACGGCGTGAACTTTATTAATATTGTTTCAGATGAATTTTATAACATCTTCACTATTTAATAAAAATAGAATTGTATAATAAATCATCTGTGTAAATTAACCATTAATTTGGGTGGCGACCATAGTAAAAAACCCATAGGACGCCATTTTATAATAATCTAGTCGCCGATCCCGGAAAAGGTTAAGGGGTGGGAGGGGGGGATGGGCTTTGACGGACTGATTGAGTAAATAAAGACACTTCACTTGAGTAAAAAAAAACTTTATTCGCGCCTACAATATGAAATAGTGTTTATAATTCAGCCCTTTTAAGAGGCAGATAGGTTTTATTAACTTATTTAAAAAACGGATTAAGATGTGGACAGAATTTTGTTATAATGGAGTATGACACAGTGAGTGTTTATGTCGTGTAGTACTGACGACGACGTAGTTTCACTAGTAGTTTTAGTTTAGGATAGAATCTAGCTTATAACGTCGATGGCTGAGATGAGAAGATCTCATAATAGTTAGCATAGATTTTCTCTTAGCTAGTTAATTACTAATTACATACCACTTACAACTGCCA